ATATCATCATTTACCCAGAATGCTTTGCATGTAAATAAAATGGCCCCGTCCGTGTAATATATTTTTAAACTTTTAGTTTAAAAATTATAAAACTGAGCATCCTACAGTATTTTTACAGTCTTTATTTTACAGTTAAAATAGATGTGTATCATATAAAATCTAATGTTACAACTAATCGGGGATACCTTTAACAAGTGCACATCAAATTTACACAAATCTCACCTGGTTTAACCTAAAAAGACCTGTTGTTGTCAAGTTTGTAAAGACAAATGACAAATGTGATCACTCATACATGAAGCCAGTAGGGTCTGTTACATTCAAATTAAGAGAAAGAAGCAGCTTTCCGGCCTACAACCTCACGCCCTGTGGCTTCTGTGAAAACGAGGGTTACATTTTTATCTCCGAGCCTCCCTTCCTGCATCACAAACTCTCCACACTCCTTTTCTGCACAATATCTTCCTCTAACTCCCTCCCTGCTCCCAGAGCAGTAATGCTGCAGAGCCTGTAGAGCAGCATTCCATTYAAACAAAGAGTCACAGTCCCACAGGCTGCAGGTGGAGAGCAGAGATGCCTCACACACACACTAGCCTCATTCTACACCTCTCCATGATGAGGGTATCATTTAACATGACCTTTACCATTGGAAGCGTATATACAGTTTAGGTGCTCACCATAAGGATGCCATGGGTCTGCTGCTGCAGCTGCGGCCCCAGCACCGGCCCCGCCTCCGCCCCACGGGTCAGCCCTGGCACTTGGCTCAGGRACATCCATSAGATCCATCAAAGATGATTGTGGCTACAAGAGCAAGAGAATTTGTGTAAGAAGGGGGGGAATCAAAGCCAAGAAGAAAACCAAGAATAAATTAATATTTAGAGAAGACTTGGTCCATTTCCACACTCAATTTTTCTTCACCAACACAATCTGTTTTTGTTTCTCAAAATATTCTCACAAAYAGCACCATTTCTAAAAAGGTTTCCATCTGTACAAACACAGAAAATGACTCAAAATGCTGTAGGAACTAGGCCAGACTTGTATGTGGCACTGTAATGCTGCCAAAAAACGTACCAAAACCTGAAAAAAAAAAAGACGTGGATGTGTTTAACGCTCACATCTGGTAGATTGTATRCAGTCATACCAACCATAGACTGTTTATATTAAACAGTACAGTCTATGGTTTATACTGTGAAAATAAGAAAAAAAATGGACACTGGAATTTTCAGGCCCTGTGAAGCAAGTTTACGACATCAGTTTTCTGTCCAGGGGTGATGTTTCAATTGTTCACTCTGATATCCACTTTTGAAATATACCATTTAGGGGCTCATAAATTAAGTTTCTGTTAGAACACGAGGCCAAAACAATGAAAAACATCTGCATTTTAATAAAAAACTGTTTTCATGTAGACAGGACCACAGACGTTTAGAGGGTTTTTTTTTTGTTTGTTTGTGTGTGTGTGTGTGTGTGTTGCGGGGGCTTGGATCATTACAGCACAAATCACTGTATTGAGGCACTTGACAGAGTCATGCAAAAACACTTATTCTAAACTTTYTGTCTCCTAAAACCCAGCCACATATTCCTGCAGAAAAATCGAGAAAAACTTCTGCTGCAATTTACTGCTAGGAAAGGAGAAGTCAGGGTCATGGAAGGAAAGAAGACAGGGATTGACAAGTCTGTTTCAGGAGCGTATTTGAATTAATGGAATAGCTGAGTCAAAAAGGTTTGCTTAAATTTTACCTCTTTCTTCTTCTTGGGGAGTTTCGCTGAGCCTGGACCTTCTTTCTTACTTTCTTCCAAGGCCATCTGTAGTCTCAGGTCGTCCCCTCTACGTAGGCGTTCCTCCTTAAAAACACACACACACACACACACACACACACCGCTTGAATTAGAACCATAACTGAATCCTCCCTCAAGTTTAGATTAGTAAGACTAATGTGGCTGTTAATAGTATGCCAAAACAAGTAATTCAATTTGTAGCAAGTTTTTTAACAGAAACATGTTAGAACATGTGTTTGAGTCTGTGTGTGTTTTTTTTTTTTT